GCCTCTGCAGTGTGTGTGTGTGTGTGTGTGTGTGTAGTAACGTTGTGATGACTGATTGGATGCAGGCTGTATGCATACTTGGGCTTGTTTGTTAAACAATTAGCCTATGCAATATATTTGAAAACCGCCAAACTGACTCCAAACCAGCCCAAATTTTGTCCACCCGCCCAAGCCAATTTTTACCCGCACAATCAAATTCAAAACTGCCCAATTGGGCGGGAACCCGCCCAATCTGGCAACACTGTCTGTCGGTTGTTGATTGGATGGATGCAGATCTGAATGTGAGCTTTCCCTTGATTATAAGAAAGGGACAGAATTTAAAGGGGCAGAAACTGTTTGTAATAAAAAAAAAAATGATGAGCTCAAAAATACTTTAAAAATGAAACGTATACATGAATTAATCATTCAGTAAGATGCTTTTAGAAGATAGATATCTTTGAAATCTCAAAATGTAAACATTTGCATTGCCTCTAAAATTACTTCTCTTTTTGGCTGGTGTCACATAGGCTGTTTTGCTTTGTTAACCAATAGCTACTTAGCTGTTTAGCCATTGTTTTAAATGCTGACATGGCATTAAATAAATAAATATTCTAATTTATTGAGATGCACATATATATATATATATATATATACATACATACTATACTTCTAAACTATATAATACACTCATTTGTTGCCAGTAATACTTAAAGAGAGTTCAAAAATAAAAAAAGGTCATAATTTATTCACCCTGTTGTTGTTCCAAACCTGTATGCGTTTGTTTCTTCTGTTGATATTTTGAAGAATGTTGGTAACCAAATAGTTGCTATTGACATAGTAGCCATTGACTTCCATAGTATAGAAAAAATACTATGAAGTCGGTGGCTACCAGCAACTGTTTTGTTACCAACATTCTTCAACAAACCTTTATTCGGGATCAACAGAACAAAGAAACACATTTTTGGCTGAGCTATCTCTGTAAATAAGATTATAAATAATTGCAAATAACAATAGATGAACTTGACCTCCTGAATTAAAATGAATTTCCATTTCATGTTGAATCCATATTGTGTTTTACATTCGACAGCTTATGTTTTTAAAACATATTCTCTGTACATTTACACCATAATTTCAAATCATTGTTTGAAGCTTGGTCAGGTGCATTTAAGTTGTCTTTGTGTTTTTTAAAGCACACCCTGATTGTTGCAGACCCAGAGAATCTTCTTAAAGCCCCAACTATAGTTGGCAAGCCCACTGATAAACCAGTCCTGTTCAAAGGTGTTGGGTAAGTGGTCTCTTGATACCCTGATCTGTGCTTCTTTTGAAAAATGTACTGTTTAACAAATTATGAGTTGCCTTGCTTTTTCAGCATGGTGGCTGATCCAGATAACTCTCTGGTGCTGGATATTCTGACAGGATCCTCCACCTCTTACTCCTACTTCCCAGATCGCCCCATCACGCAGGTAAATATTTCAAAGCTTTCAATGTTCTTTTTTTTTTTTTTTTTGGATGACTGAAAGCAGGAAAAACCAAAGTGAAGCATGGACTTACTTTACTCAGTCATTTATTTACTTTATAACAGTAAATAAATATCGGTTCTGCATATTGGTTATCGGGCACATAAACATGCAAATAATTGGTATCGTTTATAAAATATCAATATCGGTCGATCACTAGCCACAACTTTATTTATTATGTTACCAAAGATTTCTAATAAAAAAATCTTTTCTTTCTATAATCAAATAATTCAGAAAAAAAAAAAAATATTGGGATAAGATATTGGGACACTGAAGAGTAATGGCTGCTGAAAACCCACAGAATGTTTTTGAATATTTTAAAATTACTTTAAATTAAACTTTTGAATGGTGGTGTATGTTAATAATGATGTATGCCATTAAAACGTGACTGCTGGTTGCTTAGGTGGAAAATACAGTGTACAGTTCAAGCTTCCAGATGTGTATGGAGTTTTCCAGTTCAAAGTTGACTACAACAGACTTGGCTACACACACCTGTACTCTTCAACCCAGGTGAAATTCAGAATTCATTGTAAAACTTGCTTATGCTCCAAAAATTCCATAGTGATTTTACTCAGATTCTTGATTATATTTACTGATTCTTCTGTTATTCCACAGGTTTCTGTCCGCCCCTTGCAGCATACCCAATATGAGCGCTTCATCCCCTCTGCCTTTCCATATTATGCCAGTGCCTTCTCTATGATGGCAGGACTCTTTGTTTTCAGTGTCGTCTTTGTACATATGAGAGAAAAAGAGAAGTCTGATTAAAATGAGAATCAGTGAGGAGGAGTGCAAGAAAATGTAAAAACAAAAATGGTCTTCAGACCTCTGGCAGTCATGAATAGAGATCTGAAATATGTTTGTATGGTCTTGTTTTGGTGAGTTGGAAATTGTGCCATTACAACAAAAAGCAACGTTTTTTTAATTTTTTAATTTTTTTTTGAAGGGGGGTTGGGTAGTCTAACAAAAGATATGTTTTTGTTTTCTGGTTTGCCAACTGGTAATTTAAAGTGATTTGGGGCACGTCATGTTTTATTTGTACAAAAGGCAACTTGAATTGGTTTTATGGTGCAACATGCACTGATGGTTTGGCTCTTGCTATGAAAATTTTTGTTTTGAAATCTACCATTTGTAAAAAGAGGAATGGATTCTCAAAATGTGGTTGAAATACCTGAATTCAGTAAAGTTTTAACGTTCCACCACTAAACTTTTTGTCCTCTTTGTTGTTCAGTTGCATCAAATTCGAAAGTGTCTGATTCTATTCATGATTGTTTTAGCTGTTGTAAATGTAGTTTATACAGAACCTCGTTTCACAAATGTAAACTACATGGGCAAGTTTATTTTTTTATTTGTGCGTTTTCAGTTATTGAATACATGGGATAGAAATAGTATGAATGTGTGACAATAGAACCAACACATTACATTGTGTGTGTGTATATATATATATATATATATATATATGTATCAACACTATATACACACATAGTAAGGCCTTATCATTTTAGACATTATTTTGATATACACTACAGTTCAAAAGTTTTGGGTCTGTAACATGTATTTAAATATATACTTATACATATTTTATTTTTATCTTACTGACCCCAAACGTTTGAACTGTAGTGTACATCATTTTTACATTCATGCAAGAGCAGTTTTCTTCAATTTTGTGTGATCCAAATGATTAAAAAATCTTTGCATGCTTTATGACAGACAATATGACAATACACTTGGATAAAGGTCTAGAACAGAGGTTTCTTGAAGGCCAACTGTTAAATGTAGATTTAACATCAAATAGTCGCTTCATCTATATATTTTTGTTGTATTTTTAATACTTGTTTTATTAACGCAATAAGGAACGTTCAAGACCATGTTTTTTTTTTATTCGTTCAAAACAAAGACGTGAAAGTACGTTCTCGACGAATGACGTAGATTAAACCGACACCAGTTGTAGTCCTTACGTAGCGACTTGCTAGTAACTTGTTTTCTTAAAACAGACAGCTTTTTCAAAAATAAAGTTTGAGCTATGATTGTTTATAATTTACGTTGTTGAACAAACTTGAAAGTCTCCTTGAGTAATGTTAACCACAGAGCTGGCCTACAAATTTACGTCATCACTAAACAACTCGTGGCCTGTGAACACAAGCGCGAGCCGGGAGCGCGCGTCAGATGACATCCGCAGAGAGAGCACAGTCAGACATGGATCAACTCAAAGTCAAAGATCGGATCCTCGAAAACATCTCTCTCTCCGTCAAGAAGGTAAGAAACCTCTATACATGCAGCGAGGGTATGTATCAACCTTCTCTAGTTTATAATTTCAAGGATAGTTTGAGGTTTTTGCGGTTTACGCTATCAAAACAGTTGGGCCTCCCTCCTCCTGCTGTGCTTTGAAGACAAACGCCTTGACATCTTAAGAAATAACATCCAGTGTTTCCTTATAAGTCAAGATTTAACAAATACCAGGTTAGACAGACAACTATCAATGCACTATATTGAGTTATTCTAGGTTATATTGTGTACTTGTAGCGTAGTTAATACCTGTTTATCAATAAAATAACATGCAAAAGAAAACTCATTTTAGGCATGAGTCAAGTAAACACCGTTTACGGCATCATGCACACATCAAACAGTGACATGATGCCCCTGTAAACAAGTCCTGTTATTAAATGAGATCCTATAAATAGGGCAAACAGAGCTTAATACTTATTTTATGGGGCCATCCCAGGACATCCTGTCTTTGTATGGTCTTTTTGTTCTGCAGTGACTTACTGAATCTTTGCTGTTTGCAACATCAGAAAGCTTGTTCTTTCTTTCTTTCTTTCTTGAGCTGTCTTTTTCTGAGCGTTATTCTGAATATTAGCAGCTTGCACACCCTAGTTTGAAATCTTTTGACTTATTCAGATTTGAGCTAATCAGGTGCTTGGCATTAGTACGTTCTCATGGTTTTGTGATGGACTTACACATCAAAAAGCTCTGCTTCATCAGTGAACCACAGAACTCTGAAAATGCATTTCTCATCAGAGGTTGCTCGGTCAGAATGAAAACGATTGCTTGGAATGTCGTGGCTGTGTGCACATCAGAAATTTACCAGATAGGACGTACATTTTTCATTCACATCCAAGTGATTGCTGTTTAACATTTTTCAACATTTAATCCGCAGTTGCAGAGTTACTTTGCCGCCTGTGAGGATGAGACGCCAGCCATCAGGAATCACGACCGGGTTCTTCAGCGGCTGTGTGAACACCTGGATCATGCTCTGCTTTATGGGTTAGACCAACTGCACCAGAGCCTTTCAAAACTGAAACTCTTTTTAAGTAGACATTTGTAGGCTTACCGATCTTCTCTTTTCTCTACGTCTTGAAGGCTGCAGGACATCTCATCGGGTTACTGGGTACTCGTATTACACTTCACACGACGAGAGGCCGTCCGACAGATTGATGAGCTTCAGCACATAGCTACCAATCTTGGCAGAAGTAAGATCAAACCTTTGCCACCTATGATGACTTGTTGATGTGCTTTATAATTGTTGAAAAGTACAGTACCATTCAGAAGTTTAGAGACAGTAAGATATTCAAGTAAATATATTTATAATGTTACAAAAATTTCCATTTCAAATGAGTGCTGTATTTTTTTAACTTTCCATTTATCGAATAATCTTGAAAAGGTTGTATCACAGATTCAGCAACAATATTAAGCCGCACAACTGTTTTCAGTATTGATAATAAGAATTGTTTCTTGTGCAGCAAATCAGTAAATTAGAATGATTTCTGAAGGATCATGTGACACTTAAGACTGGAGTAATGGCTGCTGATGAAATTTAGCTTTGCCATCACAGGAATAAATTATATTTTAAAATTAAAATAGATTATTAAAAGAGAAAACATTTATTTTAAATTGTAATGGTATTTCATAATGTGGCTGTTTGTTTTCTGTTTGTAATCAAATGGTGAGCATAAGAGACTTCTTTCAAAAACATTAAAACATGTTACTGACCTCCAACTTTTGAAATGTAAATATGAAGTATTAGATGAAGATATATGAGATATATATGAAGATATATTCAGATGCTGAATATTGTGGCACTGTGTGGACTTTGTTTCATGTAGTTAGTTAACTATGACTGCTTTGTTGTTGTTCCACAGGTCGTGCCTGGCTCTACTTGGCACTTAGTGAAAGTTCTTTAGAAAGCTACCTCCGACTTTTTCAAGAGAATCAAGGACTGCTCCAGAAATACTATTACAAGTGAGTGACTTTGAAATAATAGATGTTGTTGTTCTTCAGTGGTTTCAGACCACAGAAAATTGCTTCCTTAGAGCAGTCATCTGATTTTTGTGATGTGTGAAAGCGGTTTCCTTCTTTACAGAAATGCACTGGTTTGCAGTCATGACCATCTCACTCTGTTTCTTACGCTTGTCTCTGGCCTGGAGTTCATTCGCTTTGACCTCGAATTGGTATGACTCTTCATTGATTTCTCCTGTCTAGAATTGTATGTCCTAGACCTGATGTGTCTTATACAGGACATATCACATTGTTTCACAGCATAGTGCCAAACAACTGACTTCTCTTTACAAGCTGTTTCAAAGATGAGAAAGCGTATCATTAAGGTGCTCTGACTGGTCAAAAAGTTTTTTTTAGTCAATCTTGCCTTCAGTAGTTCATTTTAAATAGCCCTGCATTGTGACAAATTAATTAAAAAATATTAACAAATAGGTATGAATATCCCATGTTGTATCTCAATGTAAGGCATTAATTAATAATTATGTTTGTATAATAATTATAAATTAACTAGCAAAACTATTTAAAATGGTTTTAGATGGAGTATTGAGTGCCATATACACTTACCAAATATATTTATATCAACTAGTCATTTAAAATATAAAAATACTGCTCTTCCATTACTACATTTTACACTATTCTATATCTTCCTTAACTGAAGATTTCAATATTTCCACTGCCTAATCCTTAATTTTTAAATTTGTGACAGGATGTGCCATATCTGGATGTTGCTCCTTACATGCCAGAATACTACAAACCCCATAATCTGTTGGATTTTGAGGAGAGGTTGCCAAGCTCTGATAGCCTGTCTCTGCACTCTTTCACATCCCTCACCTCCACTAACCTTGAGTGGGACGACAGCGCTATTGCCCCATCCAGTGAAGGTGAGCTGCTTGGCTTCAGTTCACCATTTTTCCCCTCCATTTCTCTGTCTATTACTATTCCAACTTCTGTTTCTTATTTTCACACTTTTATATATTTCACTTTTCCTTTCTTTTTCAAATGGGCATATTTAACTTGAATATTCTGTACCAAGATGACAGTATTCTTTGTTAAAGATTGTTTATCTAAAAGATGAGGACACTGAGTGTTCAGAAATCTCAGTGACCTTACATGATCACACATCAATTTTTTTATTTCATTCAATGACACATTTCACTGCTCATTATGTCACAATGTCTAGTATGTATTAGTTCCTCATATGCCAAGTTTCACATTCACTTTATATCTCTTTCAGTTTCTGTTCGTCTTTCATTCACTTCATCATTCTTTCCTGCCTATTGATGATCTTATTTCTCCTTTTTTAGATTATGATTTTGGTGACATCTTCCCTGCGTTGCAGTCATTGACAAGTGCAGACTGGGAAGGTGGGACATGGTTATTTCCCCCCTCCCCAATCTAACATTCGCAACCCCATCCAATCCATCGGTACAAACCTACTAACCTGCATCGCATGGCCATTTCACTCAGTGCATGTTTGTTTTTTCATGCACAGAAGCTGTTATAGGCAGTGTGCTTGTGATGAGTTCATAGATGGGTTACTGGTGAATATGGTCTGTATTAGACTAAACAGAACCAAACCCTCTGCTAATGCAGGGTTTGCATGGGATGACACTAAAACATACACAGTGCCTGATGCAGCTGGAACTTGCTGTTTGTTGTCTGATTGTGTTTTCCTGCCATTGCACCTGCGGTGGTGTGGCAGCTGGTTTGCATGTTGTTGCTTTCAAAGCTTTACATTCAGTGGCAAATATTCCTAACTTAATATTTATGAAATGATGACTAATAATCAAATAGGAGTCTTTAAAATATAGACATATTTTTGCTTGAATGATATTAAAGGAACACGCCACTATTTTTGAAAATAGGCTCATTTTCCAACTCCCCTAGAGTTAAACAGTTGAGTTTTCGAATCTATTTGGCCGATCTCTGGGCCTGGCGGTAGCACTTTTAGCTGTAGCTTAGCATAGATCATTGAATCTGATTAGATCGTTAGCATCTCGCTAAAAAATGACCAAAGAGTTTCGATATATTTCCTATTTAAAACTTGACTCTTCTGTAGTTACATCGTTGACCCCTTTAAGGTATTCTTTGTAGGGCTGACAAAAGTCATGTGAATCAACTTTATAGATTAAGTTAATGTATTTAATTCAGAAACAACACTTGCAGTACTTAATGAAGCATTTATGTGTAATTGTTCAATTTCTTTCTAAAAAACGTCCAGAATAGTCAGAACGATTGCACAAGCACATGCTTCTGTCTTCAAAACAATTGACAAACAAAACAATTAAATTGATTAATAGTGACAAAGATATTCATGTTACAGAATCAATGTTACAGAATCAATCATCAATGTTACAGAAGGTTTCTATTTAAAATAAATTTTGTTCTTTTGAACTTTCTATTCAAAGAATCCTTGAAAATGTGTCATGGGTTCCATAAAAATGTTAAGCAGCACAACTGTTTTCAACATTGACAATAACAAGAACTAGGGATGCACCGGTATCGGGCCCGATACTGGTCTCCTGTACTCGTACTCGTGTATCGGTATCGGGCGAGTACTGGAAAAAGTGGTATCGGTGCATCCCTAACAAGAACTGTTTCCTGAGCACCAAATCAGCATATTAGAATGACTTCTGAAGGATCCTGTGACACTGGAGGCCACTTTGCTATCATTGGAATAAATTACATTTTAAAGTATATTGAAATAAAAAACAGGAAGTTGTAGTAATATTGCAAAATATTACTGTTTTGATTAAATAAAACCAGCCATACCAAGATGTTCCCAATCCCAGACTTTTGAATGCTAGTATACTATGTGTAACTCTGGTATAACCTTCTTAATGGCAAATTTATTTATTTATTTAATGGGGTTTTTAAATAATCTAAAGTTGTCCTACAGGGTTTTATAATGCATTTATATATAATTGCAGCTCAGGTTTGTGGCAAAAATAGAAATAGTTTTTTCTTTCCAGATATGCATTACTAAACTAAATGCATGGAAACTGATGTTCAAATATTTAGAGGCAAATTTGGGGAAATTGAGATTGCCCTGTTTGTGATTATTTGCCAGACATTTAGATGCATAAAAGAATGAGATGGAAGTTGTTAGGAAGCTAAGTGTGCGTTTCAAAACTGCTTATGATTGTTGTATGTTTCTGTGCATTTGTTATGATTCAGTATCTGCCTAATACTTCTACAATGAGCTCCTAATACCTGCATGTCTAAGGAGTTTTCCCTTCTTGCTCTCGTTTTCTGACAGAGGGAGACATGACCGATCCAGTCAGTGGGCCCCGCTCCTCAGGATCAGACCCTCAGACTGTTGTCAGTGACTGTGTTGTGGTGAGGGCCTCTGCAGGAACCATCAGGACCACATCTCTGTCACGAAGCCCTACGTTTCGGCACAATCCCTTCAATGAGGACTCAGACACTAACACTTCAGCTGACGTCACCCCAGTGCACATGGCTAGCCGTCATGCTTCAACAACAGGAGAGGATGCTGAGATCTCCAACACTGAGCTGGAAGTCATTAGGTGTGTCTTGAATATTAGATCTAATGCCGTAGGATTGTAGTAGCATATCAATCACACATTATTAGTTGAAATGAAGTGTATAATTTTTTGTGTGTGTGTGCGTTACAATGCTTCTCTTTCGGTTTGTAGGTCAACTTCTCAAAGTCTGTAGACACCAGCATTTCAAAAAAAAAACCGGCAACATTTGAGCAGTTTGAGATGTCAGTTTGTAGCTCACCCACTGGTGTGAGCTTGTCTAAACCAATTAAATCTGTAATACTTGGAAAAAAACATCAGTTAGCATTCCCATTTATCTTTATGGCAGTTACTCAGCTACAGCATCCTGGAGGAAGTCCAGTTTATGGTTTAAGAGCCCTCCAAAACAAAGTCGCTGGCAAAACATCTTTACATTAAAAACATTTAATAAAGTATATTTACAATTTTGTAGTTTGCTCAAATAAATGTATTTAATCAGAATGGCCATCAATAAAAAATGATTTTTGTAATACTATTTGGTATTCTAATGGATTGAATGGCACTGAAATGACCCACTTGACCTTCCAGCTCCACTTAAATATAATGCTAAATAGTTTTAACATTATGTAGATTAATTTATTTTTCTGTGTGGTTTGTGCTACAGAATGGCAAGGCGCAGACGGCCTGGTAAGAAACGACGGGGAAGAGGGTCGACAGACTCTGTGAGCAGCGAACAGAATGTCATCTCTCCAGACACGGCTGACACTGAGGAATGCCTTCAGATTGTAGTTGAGAGAGACATTGTAGTCAATAACATTAATATGGACAGTCGGGGTCCTCTGGAGGGGCCAAATGGTCTTGGCTCAGAGTCTGCGAGGAATGGGAGACCAGATGGAGAAGATGAAGACCCGGAGGCAGGGCTGAGGCTTCCTGAAATGACGGACACTTCTATGGACAGTGTGGGCGAACCCCTGCGTGACGTCATGGACAGACTGAACGGTTCTCTGGATGGGGAGCACTGGCAGCGGAGTGAAGGTGAGGAGGGAGAGGATGGAACTTGCACTAGTCACGATGGACCCCCCCATCAGCGGCCCTTTCGAGAGGACTCGGGCGGTGAACCTCCGGACCCAAGTCGTAGCTTCCTGCAGGCCCCCCTGCCACCTGTGGACTTCTACTGCTTTACCTCCCAGAGTCCAGACCCTGCTTCCTCGTGTGGTGGGCACAATGACTCTGCAGGGAATGGCGAGTCGCAGGATGTTCCTGTTGGCGATGAAGATGAGGGAGAAGCAGAGACACCAGCTGCAGGGCAGGATCCCTCCATCCCCGTAGAGACGTCAGCTGAGGAGGAACGGAGTAAAGAAGAAGAAAAGCAGCAGGAGGAGGATAAAGACCACACAGTACAGAACTCCCATGCTGCAGAGTTTAAGTGAGATTGTAAACTGATTGTAATCAGTGACGAATTCTAGCTCTGTTGACACAATATGTGATTTATTATGAGGTTAAGGTATTGGTTTTTTGTTTGTTGTACAGGGTGGATAACAATCACCTTCTGCTGCTCATGATTCATGTTTTCAGGGAGAATGAAGAACAGCTCTTTAAGGTGAAACTCTGTTTGATTTAACATCACTGAATGGATAACTTTGTATTTACATTGTGTCCATGCTGCAGCGTACTAGTGCAAGATACCCAACCCCCTATTTACTCATTGTACTCATTTATAGTACCATTTTTATGACCCAATCACTCAAACCACATTCAGAGCTGATCAGAAGTGACCACATCGCTGATGTATTCCTAACAGCATTGAAAGCCCACTTACTGCGCCAAAACAAATGCTGTACTTTTTTTTTTTTTTTTTTTTTTTTTTGCTTCTTTATTTTTTAAAATATTAAAGACATTGTTAAAAAGAAATGGAAAAAAAATTGCACAACTGTACATGTAAGAAATGCTCTTGCTTCAGTTTTGTCCACTGGCTGACAGTCTTAGTTTGT